GCAACCCTCAGTGTTGCCCCCGTACCGGACCGGGGACCGGCAACGGGATCGCAAGCCTCGGTGTTGCTCCCGCGCCTCGCTCAGCCAGTGAGCGGGAGCCGGTCTGTATGTGGGATCCGAACCCTCGGACGGGAGCGCCGCCGCGCTTCCCAAGCGGCGCACTATCCAGTGCGCCACTGGGCCGGCCCCCAGAAAATATCTTTTCTGGTAGAATTTAAAGAAAAACAGAAAGGAAAAGATCAGCCAAAGAACCGTTAAGTAGCTTATTTACCAAGAACATAAGCCATTATGGCTTACCACAAAATAATCCTGCTGAGTAGGGGAAGAGGTTGTGGTTAGGGAGGGAATAAAATAAAAGTGGCCACAAGTTCTATTTGTTTTAGATGGGTATAAGGACATGGAGATTAATTATACTCTTCTCTCTACTTTTATGTAAGCGTGAAATTTTCCATAACAAAAAAATTGTTTAAGCTGTTATGTTATCAGAGTGTTTCAAGAAATGAAATGTGGAATAATTGTGGAGGTCAAAGTACTGTGAATTTTGACCTTAAGCAAACTGAAATAAATGTATCAAAGGATGAATAACATGGTTTGTATAATTAAGTTCGAGTTAAGACCTTGAATGAGGACTTATTGAAAAAGAACAGGAACACAGTAAATGTATAGCAAATCAGAGAGTAGTGTTTATGAAGGTAATTTAGAGAAACTCCATAAATAATTGTCCAATTATTCATAAGTCAGTACACAAAGCCTTCTCACTGAATTTACTAAACTGCCAAGGAAAGGGTTGGAAATGCAGACAAAGAATAGACATTACTATTTGGATCTTTGATACTATATTAAGATCACGCAGTTTTTTAATGAACTGAGAAGTATACAGACTACCAAATGCCTCTCTGTTATACATCTGGCAAAATCAGTGTGGCTTTAACACACTAACCAATCTGTAACTCAGAATAAAAAGTGTCTTGCTCCTGAAATGAACAAAGATATCATTAAGCTACCACAGTCAACAGTAGAGGCACACCAATCTCACAACTGAGCACAGCAAAAGGACATATTTCTGTTGCATGTTGTGTAAAAATGAAAATTGGGTAGGGGGAAAATCAGTGTAAACTGAGAACAATGAATATATCTACTATTTACAAAGAAGTCATGTTGTCCAAAGAAAAACCTATTTGAAAAAAAGACCATCTGACCCAGAACAAAGAAATTTCCGAAAGACTAGTAGCTGAAGAGAAACTAAGAAAAGGGATAGGAGAAGAAACAGAAAGGACAAACACAAATATGTCATACAGTAGAAAAAGGGCCTTTGTATTGTTTTGATAAAGAAGGTAGTAACACGTTTACTTTATCATTTTAATGAAAATGAAGTTAGAAATGGATCTATAAAAAAACTGAGAATTTTTTTTTGCTTGTTTTGTTTTTTGCTCGTTTCTTCATTTGTCCCAGAAATGGCTCAAGCTGCCAAGTTCTTTTTGGAAAAGGTTGCACTGGCAGCCTGATCAGGGCAAACTGCAGTTTGGCCTGGTTACAGTCCATTAGCGTTAGTTACATAGTATTAGTCAAGACAGGCAAGCATATGCTGCAATAACAAGCAACCCTACTTTTTTTCCAGTGGTAAAAAAACATCTGTTTAGTTCTAACTCATGCTATATGTCCATTATATGACATCCTGGACTCTGATTCACATAGTCCTCTTTCTGGAACTTGAACTGATGGAAGCTCCATCATCAGAAACCTTAGCTAACTCATGGCAGAACGTGATGGCAAACATGGGGACTCATGCAGTGGCTGGAACAAATCACAAGGCACTGCCTAACTTCAAGGAGAACTGGGGATTATTCTTCCTCCTCCAACTCCAGAAAGTTAAGGAAGTCAGATTTTGGTGGCAGGTAGTAACATCTTGGCACCATACTAGTCTGTTATCACTAGAGGTGACATACAAAAAAATATGTGTTGTAAAAATACCTATATGTATTGTAAATATCACAACCTTAAATGTGGACATTTATCATCCTTCAAAGTAGAGTCCAGGGCTCCTGGGAATGGGAAGTCCTAGATCTTAAGAAAACAAGACTATGTGTTTAGGATATTATAAAGCTGTTCTTTTTTTTTTAAAGATGACCGGTAAGGGGATCTCAACCCTTGGCTTGGTATTGTCAGCACCACGCTCACCCAGTGAGCAAACCGACCATCCCTATATGGGATCCGAACCCGTGGCCTTGGTGTTATCAGCACCGCACTCTCCCGAGTGAGCCACAGGCCGGCCCGACAGGTCATCTTTTAAAAAAAAAAAAAAAAAAAAAATGGGTCATAGATGTAAATATAAATCATAAAACTACACAGGTTTTAGAAAAAAACATAGGAGAAAATCTTCATAACCTGTGGTTAGGGAAAGAGTTCTTAGAAGTAACACCAAAAGCATGACCTGTAAAAGAAAAAAATTAATAAATCGGTGTTAATCAAAATTAGTAACATCTTTTTTTTGGCAGCTGGCCAGTGCAGGAATCTGACCTTAGTGTTATAACACTATGCTTTAACCGAGCTAACCAGCCAGCAAAAATGAAGAACTTTCGCTCTGCCAAAGGCTCTGTTAGAGAATGAAAAGAGAAAAGTGATCAAGATGGAAAAACAGAAGATCCCTGGTATTGCTCCCCTGCCCCCGCCACCACTACCGATAAACTCGCAACTATTAAAAAGCAAAAACTACAATGCTGAGATTGTTGGAGCTAGGGGAAAAGAAGGAGAGACCCACAGAGTCTGTGAAGGCGTGTAAGGCCACAGTGAGAGGGAGGAGAGACCACTCCAACCATTCCAAGTCCCAGCCACTTCCGAGTCTGGTGTGGTACAAGGCAATGGGCAGTTGCAGCATGCAGAGCAGCTATCAGGAGATGGCAAAGCCACAGCAGTGCCCTTTGCATGCAGCTACTTGGAGTATGTAGCTTCAGAGTGCACCATCCTTTCTTCCAGGCCAGCAAAGCCACTAGCAAGGTTCCCCTGGACCCACACAGGAGTGAGAGGCTGCAGCCAATGGGAGAAAGAAACCACCCAGAGGTTGGTGAGTCTTTGCAAGGGACTCATGCATGTCCTGCCCCATGGGAAAGGGCTGGAGTGCCGGTGGGGAGGCTGACCACAGGGGGAATATTGGGGTTAGCGTG